TTCTTAAACCAGGAAACTGACATTTCCTGAACACGTCATAGCTGACCCTGGAGAATAAATCTTCTATAATGTATGTGAACTAGGGCCGGGGGAAATTAACGATTCATTTCTCAATTAATCGTAAAAATGTTTGATCGATTTAAACTTCTTTTGATCAAAAATGAAAACTCACCTCTCCACCGCCTTCCGGGTCTTACGGGATTCCCGTCGGAGATCCGGTGATGTCACGGACATCGTCGTCACTGGACTCCTCCCCCCTTTCCCAAGTGGCTAAGTCGGCTAACGAAGGGAAGGAGGGGAGGAGTCTGGTGACGTCAATGTCCGTGACATCACCGGACCCCTTCCCTTCGTTAGCCGACGGAGCCACTTGGGCCGGTGATCTGTCGACACTGAGAACTTATCGAGTTCTGCGACCGCCTGACTTCCAGTTTCGTTAAAACTAAGAGGTTTGCCCTAGAAACTTTCTGCACGAGCGCCAGCCAAGGCATTGGCCTATACACATACGGCACAGCAATGAAGTCATAAAATGAACTAGGATCACACTAATCCAGCGCGTTATTATTCTGAGTTGTCCCACTCAAGCGGCGGCCATATTGAGTGGGGCACGTGAGATTAATAACGTGCTGGATTAGAGTGATCCTAGTTCATTGTATGACTTCATTGCTGTGCTGTATGTGTATAGGCCAATGTAGTTGGATCTGTATGTGCGTTATTATTAATCGAACACGAAAATTTTAATCAGTAACAGCCCTAATGTGAACCCTCAAAAAGTACTTATCTTATTGGCTCCCTGTTGGTGAGATGAATATACAATTGGAAACATATTGTTATAGTGTAAAAAAGAATCCGTTGATCCTGCCAGAAATCTTGTCAGCTGAAAACTCCCTGCGCACTCTGTGATCAGTTACATTGATTCCGGCTCTCACTTAGGACTACAACACTTTGTCCCTCTATGTTATGGAGATGAGAAGTGATGAGGGTGTTTTGTAGTCCTAACAGACTTCCTGTCCCAGGGTGACAACGCTGCTCCTCCATAGATACAAGTGTGCCGAAATTAAGGCCGGGTAGCTGTCGGTATAGACAGTGCAGTCAACCGGCTGGGAGGAACAGAAGCTCTGAAGGTAATAAATCTACTCATAGATGAGGGGAAAAATAGGGAGACCCGTGTCTGAGGACAGCATGGTGATCCCGAAGGTTCTCCTATACGATGGCAGCCGGCTCTCCTACAATGGTGACTCCAGAGGATCAGGGTAATGATATAATATTGGTTCTATTATATGCAAGCTGGTTTTCTGTGTTTGTTGCCTAGTGGGGCCCCTTACCAATTCTCGGGCCCAATAGCAGCCATATGAGCTGCTGGCTGTAGTCATGCCCCTGCTCTTTATAACTTAGGAACAGTGGCGCCACAAGGGGGGTGCGGCCCGGGTGCCACCATTGGAAGGGTGACACCAAAATGACTGTCACCCCCTCTGAAAAGTCAGGCACTCGGTCATGGACTGAGAGCCCGACAGTGTCCGGAGAAAGGAGGGGACCCGGCGGCATACCTCATCCCACCAGGTGAACGTCCTCTCCTCTCTCTGCCGGCGTCAATTAGATGACCGTGCATGCGCGATGACGTCACGGCGAGGTGTCACCAAGTCTACGCTCTTGGTGACATCCGGCCTCGGGACGCCGCTGCTTAGGAAGCTTTCTTTTGTTTGGTCCTTACAGCTAAAATATGTCCTGCGTATAAAGCAGAGCGCAAGCTACATCCTATATCTCATTCTAGCAAACTACTTACATGCAAAGGGGAGGAGCTTGTGCAAAGGGGCGTGTCTAGGACAGCACGAGATCCAAATACAGCACCGCCCACCTTTCTTTATTCTATAGGCAGCGCTGACATTTATAGAGCCGATGGCGGACATCGGGGGAATCGGATACGTCGTGTAGGGAAGCGTTTACATTTATTAAACTGTCTCCTATTCAGACACAATGATGTCATATTGCGTCCCCGGGGCAGAAAAGCGTTTTGATGATCGGTGACGGTTAATATGTTATGACTGGCAGTTGTTGCAGTTTATGGTCTGGCCTTGCAATGACTGTGCTGATAAAGAGGACCTGTCTTCTAATAAGATAATTGAGGTAAAGTGGATAAGAGGTGCTGGAAGCCTGAAGATTGTTTCTGTGTTTCCTTTATTGGTTACTTCGTTAATATTGAATTCATGAATGATTCATTTAGTTGTTGTCATCCGATGTCTCAGTAATAGTGTCAATGTAAAGAATGTGAGCGTTGGACTGGCAGCTCCTGCACATCGTAGGTCTTCCACGATCACCTTGGCTGGAGGTAGATATGAGTCATTTACAATTGAAGCACCACACTTGTAACGTTCAAGTCCAAATACAAGTTTACATAGTAAGGTTGAGAAAACCTGTCCACCGAGTTCCACCTACAGAGAGGAGAAACAAAAATGTTTATTCCAGTGATAGATTGATTGCAAAGCCAACGCGTTTCAGGGGCTCTAGCCCCCTTCATCAGGGCTGGGAAACAACGAAGCAATGTATACAGGCTCAATAATGGAGTTGGATGTCATTGGTGTAAATCCGCCGACTGCTGGTTGGAGCAGACCACGGCTCTCACAGGCTGTGTATTATTATTATACAGGACTTATATAGCGCCAACAGTTTGCGCAGCGCTTTACAATATAAGGAAGACATTACAATCACAATACAATTCAGGACAGGATGGTAAGGAGGGCCCTGCCCCTGAGGGCTCACAATCTAAAAAATATTATCTCCCCCCCAGGAATGTTGACCATCACTGACTTCATCAACATACTGCACAGATACTACAAGGCTCCGCTGGTAAGTGCTCACGCC